TCTCCAAAGACAATCAATTCTCCCACACTTGGGGTTCGAACTACCAAATGTTGGCCCTCACAATCAATCATAGCACCAAACCGGCTCAGCCAATCCATCCCCATAATCATGAAAACATCCCCTATAGGAATAGGGATAAGATCAATTGGATAAGGCAACCAGAAGATCTCCAATACAAAACCATGATACACTAAAGTTGAAAAAACCCTATGTTGATTGGCAATAGAAACCCGCAATAGACACTCTAACTCCCCAACAGGCATATCAAACTCCCTAATGAATGAACTAGATACAAAAGACCGAAGCGCAGTTGAGTCAAACAACACTAGATCAGGCAAAGAATTCACTAGGAACGTACCTAACAGAGGCACACACATAAGCATAACACAAAACATAATCAAATAATTAATGGATAGAAACATACCGGTCACAACATCTGGAGCCACTATAGCAACCTCGGCGGTGAGCTGGAAAGCGCGACCTCGATCCCTCGGGGGCTCCACCATGCTTTGACTCCCATCTATGATCTACAAAGTAGTCGACACTGAAACCTACGCTGGCCTGGCAGCAAGCAAGGGAAACTGGACTTCATATGGCCCACCTGATCATATTGGTAACAAATTCTGATGCCGACAATCCCTCACAATGTGGCCCTGCTTGCCATATTTGTGGCATCTCGAAGAAAATTGATAAGCTCCATCATGCACCTTATTGAATTTCCCATAAGTGCGACCCCTTTAACTCCCCGACCTAGAATCAGTGGTCCTAAACCACTTCGACACAGGCTACGACTTTGTCGGGTCGAATCTTTTCTCCCTCTTCTGCAAATCAATCTCAATCTCATGCCGCCTGGCGGCCTCCTGCATCTCCAACAATGAACCATATCACTGGGTGGAAACAAACTGTTTGAATACCATCTTGAGCATGCTCAAGTAATGGGTCATCTGAGCCCGCTCAGATGCAGCAAACTCATGATAAAACATAGTCCTCTCCGTAAACATATTGGTGATATCCGTCACTGACTCTGTCCCCTGTCTCAAATCCAGGTACTCCTGGGCCAACCTCTCCCACTCCACCAGCGGCACATATCTATAGCGGAACATCTCTGAGAACTGCTCCCATGAAACAACAGCTCTCTGCTCAGCAGAAAATGAACTAGTAGCATGTCTCCACCAATCCTTCGCTCCGGTCCTCAGAAGGTTTAGAGCACACCTAACCTTCTAGTTTGTTAGACAAGAGCAGGTGAAAAAGCATCCCTCCACATCAGATAGCCACCTCATGGCTATGAACGGGTCCTAAACTCCATCAAAATTTGGGGACTTCGTATTGTTGAAGTCCCGATACTGAAAAGCTCGCCCAGTACAAATCCCCATAGCTACAACGACTAAGCAGCGTAACGCTAAATCAACGTACTCAATCATGGCAGTTTTGATAGACCAAAAAAATATCTGGAAACTGAGCTCAAAAGCGAGCAACAACCTCTTCCTGCAGGATCTCCCTAATCCTATCATCCTACGTAGCTAACCCACCCTATCTACTAGCTCCTGATCCCAATCCAGACCCAACCTTAAATCGCCTCGTAGTCACCATACTGGAAATATACCAGTGAGACATCAGATAACACATATATCATAAGAGGGGGAACCAAATCCCAACAAATCCCTAGGGGTTGTAACTTCCCTGTTACACACACGGGTCCTTTGCTTTCACTAGTACAGGTCCTATAGACTGTCGAATATCTAGTCCTACACTAAGCCCTTCAACAAACAAGAATAGGAAATATGGCCAAACCAAACATTCTTAGGCTATAGAATCTTAGGTATGCATAACCATGATACATACACTAAGCAACTACAGTAATGATGTCAATTCCATAAAAAGAAAGGTCCTAGGCTATCAGACATCATGTAATCAGGCAATTCTATCATGCAATTGCTAAAGATACCTAGCCTATCTCTAGCATCTTGTTCTAACATATCACGATATCAATAGCAGTGTGGTATTTTGGGGTCTACTTATTGGCTCCGGATGATTGTACACCTTGCATCCTCCTCGACTATTTTGAAAAGTGAAAATATTTGAAAATTGTTTTAAAAATCTTTTTCCTTAGTTTCAGACTGGATTCACATGAGTATTCCTCCAATTCACTCAAACCAAGGATCTGATACCAACTTGTAACATTCATAAACTTCTTGAATAATTTAAACATTTTCAAACCAACCAAAAATCATAACTGTTTACAATGTAGCTTTCAAAACATGTTTAATATCAGAGTTTTTCCCAAAATCACAAAACACAACACGAGGAGGTTCACGATCACGCCTTTCCTCCCTGCAATCATTTGAGGTACCTGAAACATAACCCAAAACCGTAAGCCCAAATCTTAGTGAGTTCCTCCAAAGTACC